GAAAGAGATTTTTGGACCTTTGGGGTTTTTCGCTTCTTCGGTGAAAGTAGGGCGCAGACCTCGCTCCCAGGGAGACGAGTATCGTAGAGCCATTGGGACCGCGCCTGTGTGTGCTCAAACAGGGCAAGAATCGAGGCCAGTACGGCTTCTCTTGCTGCAGTGGAGGAAGTGAAAGAGAGATTGCACAGCCTTTACGTTGAGCAGCTTTGTGAAAGGCCCCGTCCCGAGGGCAGATCAGGTTCTTCTTGGGATAAGATCTTATCGACTTATAGAGTTGCTTTTGAGCGGAGACTTGAAGAGCTGCATACAGTTGAGTGCGTTTGGAAGTTTGCGACCAAGTGCTTGAAGAAACAACATTTGAGAGAAGTTTTTGAGGCATTCGCACCTGAGGACGTTGCTGAGAATTGCATTTCAGAGGAGTTGCAACAAGCTTCGTTACATCCTGTGGAGGAAGGCCCTAACTTCGAGCGTGATCTTCTTGCGAGCAGTGCTGATTTGCAGGAGCTTTTGAGAGCTAGTGCTGATTGTGAGCTGCCAAGTTCTTCAGCTGAGCCGAAGCGTGCATTCAAGCGCCGATTGCAGCAGCAGGACTCTGTGATTGAGTTGGATTGATTTCCTTGAATTTCTTGATCAGACAAAGAAGAAATGGATCCGCAAGGTCAGAATGTGCATGAGGGGCCGCAGTTGCCCCAGCAGCCGGCAGGCAGTGCCGGTGTTGAGCCGCCAGTGGCTCAGAACCCGTTCTCGCCAGTTGGGCAGGGACAGCAAGCACCACAGCAGTTTGTGCAAATCGACATGACACAGATGCAGTTGCTTATGGCACAGATGGTTGAGACGGCGCAAGCAGCGTCGCAGGCTGCTCAGGCAGCCGTTGCAAGGCCTTCGAGCAATTTGACTTCGGGATTTTCGGATGCGAATAAGATTCTTAATCGCCCTTCGGAATTTGGGTCCGGGGTACATGACAACGACCTTGCAACTTGGTCTGAATGGAGCCACTCATTCAGAACATGGTTGGTTTTCGCAGAAAGTCAGTTCGAACAGGACTTAAAGCTTGTGGAGGATAACTTGCAGGGCCCTGTTGATCTGACTGGGGCTTCGCCTGATCGCATTGCAAGGTCTCAGAGGCTTTACGCGATTCTTGCAAGCATTCTGCGTTCGAAGCCAAAAGCGATCTTACGTCAGGTCTCAAACAGAAACGGCCTAGAAGTCTGGCGGGTGCTCACCAATACCTTCGCACCCAAATCGAAATTCAGAGGACTCGCTCTTTTGAATGCTCTTATGACGCTCCCGAGCTTCGGGAAAGATCGCAGCCTGCGAGAACACATACAAGGCCTCGAGAGAATAGCTGAAGAATATCAAAGGGTCACTGGACATTATCCTGGGGAAGAGGTCATGCTAGGCACCCTAGTTCGGTCCCTTCCCTCTGCGATAAAACAACACGTTCAACTTCAGATGACAGACTCCAGTAGTTACCAAAGCATCAGGGACTACGTTCTGGGGTATGAAGTTACGACAACGTCTTGGACTCCAGCCAAAATGCACCAAGCTCTTGGTGTAGTGCCTTTGCCCAGTTCTGTCGAGCAAGGCCCAGTCCCGATGGAGGTTGATGCGCTTCAAAGAAAGGGGCCAAAGGGCAAGAACAAAGGCAAAGATGGCAAAGAGCGCAAAGGCAAAGGTGGACAGCAACCGCAGAATCCTTATGGTGGCAAGGGCAAGGGCAAAGATGGCAAGCCAAAGGGCAAGAACAACAAAGGCAAGGAGCACAAAGGCAAAGGTGGACAGCAGCCGCAGAATCCTGGTGCCAAGGGTTCCCGTGCAAATGTAGTTTGTCACAATTGCCAGCGCAAGGGCCATTATGCTTCTGAGTGCTGGCGTCCGAGGGTGCAGCAGGTTCAGGCACAGGGTTCAGAGACAGCGTCCACCGTTGGGGCGCCAAGCACAGTCGGTCCGTCAGCATCGCAGGTTGCAGGCAGCACGGCTACCACAGCGAAGCGTGTTGCGAGAGTTGAGATTGACATGACTTCCAGTGCGTTTCAGGACGATGTAGAGATCAGCGGTCACTTGCGTGTTTTGACAAAGGTGTGTCCTGAGGATCCAGCTGCAGCTACTGCCCAGCCGAGTTTTGCTTCACTGTGCAAGTCTTTGGCGTCTGCATGCGTTGACCCTTTGAAGCCACATGTTCTTGTGCCGGTGCCAGAAGCTGAAGTGTTTGACATGTCATATTCAGACAGTGACTGTGTCTGGACAGTGCCGAATGAGATGCGTGAAGTCGCCTGTGTGGGCTGTTTGAGCAGTGCACGAGAGTATGTGACATGCAGGGCCCCAGCCCGCAACCGTGCGAGGCCAGGTAGGCGATCACGGCAGCCATTGCAGTGCGAGCCGACGGTGCACCCGTGCGAGAGTGCCGCTGAGCATCTTGTGAGCCCACCTGTGCATCCACTGCAGGACCTTCGTGTGTGTGCCGTGTCATGGGCAGACATGAGCAACGAGATTGAGGTTGTGGTCGACTCCGGGTCGGATGCCTCATGCTTGCCACTGTCTTGGGCACACGTTGGAAGGGCTGATGGAGCGAGCCTTGATAGTTTCAGGGATGCCCAGGGTCGCATGATTAGGGGTTCGCAAATGCGTACGGCAGTGCTGCAGATTGACGGTGTTCAATTTAAGGAGCGGTGGCTGTTGAGCAGTGTGACACAGCCGCTTTTCAGTGTCGGCAAGTTGCTCAGGCGGGGATGGGACATCATCCACAGTGACGGTGTTCCTTACTTGACAAATCCTGGGGGCACAGTGCGCGTGCCTATGCACTACCGGCACAATTCCTTGCATGCGCGAGGCTCCATCATGAGCGTGGTAGTGTGTGCCAACGACTGTTTGAACGATGACAGAGAGGACAATGCAGTCCACGAGCCCCAGGAAGCCACGCCTCTTTCCGAAGGGGACGAGCTTGATGATGAATATGCGCACGGCAGGGATCAACAGGTCGAGGTGCCCCAAAGCGGTGAAGCAGGCGGCCCCGATGCTGCTGCTGTGCGTGCAATCAAGCTTGGAAGTGCATGGCTGAATTTGGGTAGCCAATACACGGAGATGCAGCCTGGAATTTTTGCTAGGCAAGATCAGTCGAATCGGTTTCTTGATGTGTCAGTGCCTTTGGGCCACCACGGAGTGAGCTTTCGCACGACCCTTCAGTACGACGGTGCCGAATGGAAACTGATTGAAATCAACTGCTTGATCAGCCTCTTTGATGATCTTGAGAAGGAGTTTGAGCCTAAAGGGTCCCGCCACATCATCACCATCGGCTCTGTTGATCCTTTGCAAGTTGAGAAGCTGTTTGATCAGCAGTATGTTCCGTGGAATGATGAAAGTTATGATGGCGAGTATGCCGATGCACCGCCTGATGAAAGCATGATTGAGGAGGATGAAAATGCTGAGGATGATGACGGTGGCGGTGTAGGACCTGTGCCTCCCGCCGAAGTTCCTTCCCAGGGTCATGCTGTGGTCAATGGGGTTGAGTTGCATCCCGGGTGTACCCTTAAGACCCTAAGGTCGGCCTGTGAAGTTCTTGGAATAGGCAAGTCTGGAGGAAAGGCAACGGTCTTCGCGAGGATCGAGCAACACTTGAAAACCCAGGAGTTGCTGCAACAACATGCTTTCCAGACTGATGGTGTGCCATTGCCTCTTGAACAAAAGTTTGTCGAAGAGCCAACTGCAGAGCAGAAGCGTCGCCATGAGCTCAGCCATGTGCCATTTGCAGATTGGTGCCCACACTGTGTAAAGTTCCGCGCCAAAGCCGACAAACATGTGTCGAGCAAACCTGAGCTGCGGGACGATTCGGTGTGCAGCTTTGATTTTGCTTATACAGGCCGGAGCAGCCCAGCTGAGTTTGAAGGTGCATCAAAGGACAAGCTTGTTTGCCTTGTGTTGAAAGACTCCCACACAGGGGCGATGCATGCTGTGCCAACGCCAGCCAAGGGCGGACCGGTTGCATTCAAGTATCTTGTTGCCGAAGTTTGTCGGTTCTTGAATTACTGTGGGCACGAGTCCGTCACGATCAGGTCTGACGGTGAGCCAGCTTGCTTAGCACTTCAGCAGGGCATCAAAGCTTTCAGGACCAAGATGGGGTTGCGAACCCACTTGGAACAGACTGAGCCAGGTGATCACCAGTCAAATGCTTCGGAACAGGCCATTGACAGCATTCGGCAGCTTGCAGGATGCATTCTTGATCAGTTTGAGGAGCGTGCTCAGACAACTGTAGGTGCAATGCACCCAGTGCACGCGTATGCTTGGAGACACGCTGCCTGGCTTCACATGCGGATGTCACGGCACAACGACCTCAGTGCGTTTCAAGTGATCAAGGCCATATGCAGGGAAACTTGTTTGCTTCGGAGAAAATGTCTACGCAAGGGTTAAAAGCAGTGTCAAAGGAAAAGCACGCTGGTGTAAAATGCTTTGGCTCGGAAAACTTCCTGTGTCGGACCTACATTTTGGGGTCACCGAAGGAGGATTCATGCTGTCCTCAAGGTCCGTTAGACGGTTGCCAAAGCAATATGATTCATCCTTGTGCGCCAAGCTGCGCGACATGCCTTGGAGCCAAGCGTCTTTTCTTGCAGGCCAAGTTGGTCAAGCACGCAAGCAGAAAACACTTGAGAGTGATGAGAGTGCCGGAACCGAGCCTCAGGTTGAGCAGCAAGCCGAAGTGCCTCCACAAGCAGGTGCGGCGGAGAATCCTTTGCCGTTTCCGGGTCATTTGTTGCCCGACGATGCAATGCTGCAAGAGTTTGTGCCACCGCTGCCCCGAGAGCCAGTGTTGCATTCCAGGGCAGCAAGCAGAAACTCCAATGCAAGTTGAAACGGCCTCGCCACTTGTGTCGTTTGATGATGGGCCTGGGATTGCTTCTTCGTCCTTTGGGATAGCACGACCTGCGACTGAGGAAGCAGGCGGGGAAGCTCCAGCCCGAAAGAAACTTCGTCTTGATGCTGTTCAGACAAGTGCACATGATTGTGAAATGTTCCATCACGATGAGGCTCCCGAGCTTCTTGATGAAAGTGCAGAGCAATTTCTTGATTGTGCGGATGAGTCCATGTGGGACACTGAGGATTGGGCTGATGATTCAGCCAATGCGCCTGACATCCCTAGCATTTTGATTAAGCCTTTCAGTGAAACTGAGCCAGTGTGCGATGCATCCGAGCTTGAAGCCATTGATGCTGCAGCAGATTCCTTTGAGCTTGATCGGTTGACGAAAGCCGGTGTTCTTGAACAAAGTGAGTCCTGGCTTGAAGGGCATCGGACATTGTCTTCCAAGTACGTCCGCACATGGAGGCCTAAAGTCATCAAGGGAGAGCGCGTTTGGTTGCGCAGAGCCAGGCTGGTTGCGCGAGAATTTGCGCATTTAGGTCCGGGCAGGCAGCACTTGTTTGCACCGACCACGACCCAGTGCATGCTGAGAATTGTTCCGTCACTTTTCATTCGCAACTTTGGGGACGGCTGGTCCCTGCTGAGTCTTGATGTATCCGACGCTTTCTTGCAGTGCAAGCAACAGCATGATACCTTGACAAAAGTCGATGGAAAATGGTATAAACTTTTCCGAATGCTGCCTGGGCAACGGGACGGATCTGCTACCTGGTTTCAAGATTTTATGTGTGAGATCCGCGCAGCTGTTGCTGCTGAGCCATTAGCAGAGCAGCCAGTGTTGTTTCGCATCCCGCATGCGGAAGGCAGCCACATGTGCCAAGGAGGTGGAATTATAAGTGATTCATCTAGGCCCGGGGGCCGGGACGCGCAAGGGGGTTCAGGGCATTTGGAGCATGGGTTCCAAGCCCTGGACTTGAAAATGATTTGTTGTAGTAGGGTTTGATTATTTTTCCATCAATCAGTCAGCACAAGAACAACAGCCTCTCCAAACAAGTACCGTCCCTTCCCAAGAAAACGCGGCACGTTTTGGAACAAAATCGTCGTGAAAGCTACAAACCTACAACTTGTGATGTGGCCAACCCAAACTGCAAACCGCAAGCAAGCATATCTTCCTGACTTTGTCGGCTGTTTTATGAACTCGAATTCCGCGATTTCTCAGCCGCCGGGCCGAAACTCGATTGGGAATTGGGAATCCGAATCGCAGCACAGTTCAGGCACATGACTCACGTGACAGTGACAGCTTGACAACTTATCATCCAATCTTGCAAGAGGGCGTAGGCAGTAGGCATAGCCTAGCTTGCTTGAGGTGTTACATTGGTTTTCGTTGTGTAGTGTCATAGTGCTATGGCAGAGCCTGCCATCTTTAGGCTTCCAGATCCTGGGGACGGTGAGCTTGAGGACAGAGAGTCCGAGTCAGAGGCCGAGGAAGCTCCCACGTCTGCAGGTGCCCTGCGGAATCGTCGATATAGGGCCAAATGTCGAAATGCTTCCCGTGCAGAGGTTTTGTTTCTGTATGTGAAAACCTGTGGCGACGAATCAGAATCTCTGGGCACCGCTGCTGCAGGGAATTATTTGTTGTGTGTTGCTGAGCTTGGGGAAAAATGCATCAAGCCGCTGGGTGCCCAAGAGCACTTGCAGCAGCAAGATACTTGGCGAGCTCGGCATCAGAAACGTCGCGATCGAGATTTCGCCGCTAAGCAGATGTCCCTCCAGAACCAGACAACCCGAAACCAGATGTTCAAGTGCTGTTTGAAGTCTCTTTTTCGTTTCAGGGCAGCTGTCCAGTTGGGGCCTGCCCAGGCTGCAGTGGCAGGTGCCTTGTGCCGGGCACCTGCAGCTGCTAACCAGGGTGCGGTGACTCCTGTTCCTGCGATGCCCGCCTTGGCTGGCAGGTTGGCGGTTTTGCCTGCAGGGCAAGCGCAATGGGTTTTTCAAGCTGCTGCGCCAAGCGTCATCTTCGAAGCCGTTGCAGATCGCCAGGGCCTTTACACTTGCTTTGCAGACGGACAGGCGGCGGAGCCTGAAGTAGGCACTGCGAGGCGTTACCTAGGGCGTCCTTTCTGGATGGTTCGCTTGCCACCAACTGTCATGAAGCATTTGATGGAGATAGGCAAGGAGTTCGTGGTTCCTGGTGGGCTTGTGACTTCTTTGGGGCACCAGTTGCCCGGAACCGTTCCTGCTGCGGCAGAAGGAAGCCCCAGTGATGGTGCCGACAGTGGTTCCTCTTCCTCCTGCGAGATGAAGAAAGTGCGCAGGCCGGCCATGCAAGAAATCCTGTTGGGAAAGCTCGCTTACAAGCTCAGCTCAACGGTAGGCATTCAAGATGTGGTTCGCACCGTCCTTCGAATGTTAGTGCCAGATAGTTTAGGTCTGCAGACAACATGAAAGTGTCGCATGGGCATGTGCGGAATATCTTGCTAAAGCTTGATGCCTTGCATTCCTTGTCTCGCCGGTTCCTTGCCCCACCAGGTGGTGGGGCAGACAAGTCGCTGCGAATTGTCAGGTACATCAGTCCTGACAGTTCCCCGCAAGCGAATTATGATTATTTTTGTGCGACAGAAGAGTTGCTGCTCTATCGTTCCGACGAGCTTCCAAGGGATGCGGGTGGAAATGTAGCTCCTTTCAAAGGGTTTGAACACCAGAGGCGTTCGATGTTGTGTACAACAATTGCGAGAGGACAAGGAAGCACAGCTTCGAAGGCAAGCAAGATGGTACATATGATTGCCGTTGAGAGTGGTGCGTCTCTCTTTGAGACGTATCGTTCGGAAGTTCGGGGCTTCTTAAGCGATCAAGGAACGGAGCGAGGCATAGCATCGTTTCCAGTCCGCAGTTGCTCTGAGGTCCAGAGTATTGTGGGCGCTCAAGCTTTGGCGAGCGAGGCAATACAGGAGGATTTTCGTGAATTGCCGCTCTTTCATTCCGCTCTACACATACCGGGAACACTACACATAGTGTTTAACGCACTGGAATTCAGCTTGAAGCAGCTTGAAACCTGGCAAAAATTCGAGAAACAGTTGAACAGCATCACCCGTGTGTGCAAAGAAAAGAGTTACTCAGAAGTAATTCTTGTGAGAATGATGAAGCATGCGAGCCCCGAGGAGAGACGGTTGTTGCATCGGATGGATGACCTCTTAGACTGGAGGTGGGATTCGCTCGCAAGAGTGCTGAAGGTTTGGGTTCCTCTATATCCCACCTTCAAGAAATATTGGAACCCAGCTGTTTTTGGTGGGGACAGCTCGTCAGTCACAATTCGAGCTGTGACGGAAGCGTTGGCAGACGAGTGCCATTTCGACATGGCAGTGTGGACGCATCAGTTCTCTGCCGAGGCCACCAGGCTGGCCCACTTTTTCGAGGGTTGTCACTGCCATCAGGAGCAGCTGACAGACCCAGAAAACCGGGAAAAGATAAACTGTTGTTGGAAAGGCAGGCGCTTGCCTTGGCTTGCGGTTGGTAATCTCCAGGGAGCTTTGCAAGATGCCATGACAAACAACGAGATTAGTGTTCTTGCGCATCTCTTGTCTCGTTCTAGTGAAACTGCAAGTCGGATGGCGCACATGGCGGACACGTGCAACAAAGTATTTGTTGCCGTTATCCAGCAAAAGCTTGCGTATGCTCAGCAAGTACCATGGGTGTTTGCCGCAGCGTTTGCGGGGTATATGGGCGAGACTTGGGGCCGAGTGAAAAAGGTTCTTCGGCCACATCTTCAGAACGTTGACAACATGATCTCCAGTGGCCAAGTCGGCGCTCTAGACTCTGTTACACATGCTTTGTTTGGACCAACCGACACAGGCCGCATGCTCCGAGAGTTTCTGAACTCGGAGGATGACGTGCCCCTTGATCGATGGCCAGCGTTGTTTTGGAGAGTACAGGAATATGCCTTTGTTTCTTTGTCCGAGCGACACACGGAGAGAGAGCATGTCGGTGTCAAGGTTGCAGCAAACCGTGGTCTCACAAAGGCTGGGCCTGCAGTTGTCTGCAGCCGCAAGCGCAGAGATCAAGTGTTGGAGATGCTGGAAGATGAGAAACAGCTCGCTTTCTTGGTCAACAATTGGCGCAGCAGGCGCCTTTGGAGTAGCCTGCTGGAGCACATGCTCACTCACGAAGAGGTTCGACTTATGGAGACGCCAAAGAGGCTTTCCCGCTTGTACGGGTATAGCGAGGAAGACCACTTCAAAGATTGCGAGGACTCTGTTCGTGCTGATGCCGTTTACCGCCAAACTTTGAGAGATCAGACTTTGTTACTGGCCGGAAGCTTCAAGCTTCCGAGTGCTTCCTACCAGGTAGTGAACTGGCTGAAAGGCCATTTGGCGACGGGCGTGTTTTTCAGTGTGTCCACGCATGTCTTTGAGCTACTTGTCGACAGGGGTCGGAGATGTGAAGACCCAGCCGCATCCTTCAGAACCGACGTGCTGCTGTCTATTCTGCGAGCCGACGTCCACCCTCGGGTAAGTGATCGTGCTTCGGTTTTCTGCTCGGTGCTGGATGCCAGGCCAGAAGCAAGAACGGATGCTCGTGTTTCGCGACCTGCTGCACACATCACAGACCCGAAGCTAGGCCGCCGCAGCTGTGTGGTTGTGCAGCGTTTCCACGACGTGGATGTTTCCCAGGGCGTGCACGGCCTTGGTGGAGATGTGCGGGTGGCGTGCACGAATGTGCGGATCGAGGTTCTCGACTTGGCACGGGTGTGCACAGCAGAGAACTTGAAAGCCTTTTGTGCAAACTGTTTGCTCTGGCGTGCTATGCCTGCGGAACTGGCCTTGGCTCTGGGAGACGAGTCCACGCAGCCAGGTTTGCTGCAGGAGCCGCAAGTGCAGAAACTTCCAGAGATTGTCTTAGACAGCGATCCTGCCTGCTTGTTGAGTCGACCGCCTCCGGATCCGCATGTGGAAGATGCCCTCGACATCCTGCACCCCCCTGCCCATGTCGTGCAGAATGCGGACGACTCTGCGGTGCTGCAGGTCTACGGTGCTCCGTGTAGCGACCGAGAAATGCAAGCTATCAAAGAGTTGCTGCGAGCAAGGGCCATCGGCATTGAATCTGCTGTGTATGCCACAGACCTTGAACACTTCGATGCTGTTGCACTGGAAGGCTTGCGTGACCGAGGTCTTGTCATCTGCGAGACTGATATGTTCTCAGATGTATCCGTCGCCTTGACGGGCAAGTTGACCTACAGTGCAAGCTCGGTGCTGGCACGGCCATTGTTGCTTTGGGAGCTTGACCAAACGACTTTGACTCGAGGCCAGATGCCAGGCCGATCAAAGTTGGAGTTAATTCGTTTGTTGTTTGTCTTGGGCTGGGAGCCAGGGCTGGGCCGGGAAGCGTGGCATCGCAAGCAGGGAGAGAAACGTCTTCCAGATGACGTTCTAGTTTGCAGCCTCCCCTTCCTCAGAGCTTTGATGCTGAGTCGGCTTATATGGGAAAGCCCGGCAACTTGTCGGGCATTTACTTGAAAGGCCCCCAGCAGTATTATGAGTTCTTGGTGGATCAGGACGATCTCAGCAGCTTGCGGGATGCTTCTGCAGAGGAAATCAATGCTAGAAAAAAAGACCTGCTGGCCGCAGCTTGACAAGAGATGCGGCTACAGGTCTGGAGCTTGACCCAGAGGCTGATGATGCCGAGTTAGAAGAGCTTGTGCAAGAGCTGCCTGAAAAGCTCATGCAAGCAGAAGAGCCGCAGCCAAGCATGGCCAGCGGTGGTAGACGTGTCGCTCCTCTAGAAATCGACTTGGGAGGCGGTAGGACACAGGTAGTGCATTTTGACAATTTCACACACTCCAGCGGTCAGCTCCGAGCATTCGTTGCTTGCGAGACACACAGCGGCTGCCGCTTGTACACGTTTGTACGGCATCATGGCAGCCGCAGGCGGGCTGCTGCCTTTTTGCTTGCTTGGCAAATGCGAGCAGCTCACCACCGCAGAGCTGAAGCTCACATTGCGGACAAGCCAAGTGAAGAGCAGGTGGATGCCATGATGCTCCGGATCGCTTGATGCAACACACGGCAGTCAGAGTGAACGTTTGAGGGTTTTTTTTTAGTTTGTTGCATTGTTTGGATGCAGGACACGTGTTGGCTGACTGTGCTGCTTCCGTTTGCTGCAAGAGTACCTCGGTCACTGTGTGCATGTGTGACTGCCCGTGCATGTGTGACTGCCCGCAGCCCCTTTCGGCTCCTTTGGGCTGTGCAGGGGCCAATGCATTGGCATTTCTCCCACTACGGAAGGCCGGCAGGGAGAAGTGTAGTCGAGTCTCGAAAGCTTTGCGGTGAGAAACCTGTAAAGTTACAAAGCTTTGAAACCCAGGCAGTCCTTAAGCCCCTAGAGTAAGAAGCTTGCTAACTCACAGAGCCAGATGCGGCCACCGTGTGCTCACCTGGGTTTCGGGCTGCGTTTTCGACGCTAACCCATTTCCCAGGCTGCACTTTGGATCGGCACGCTACCTGGTCTGTGGGCTGCACGAAGCTACCCTGGAGCTACAGGATGCACAGTAGTCTGTTTAGCGTCCCCGCTATAGGTGTAGCAGCAAGCCAGGTTGCAGGTGTCTGTTGGAACAGATTAGCCTCTCAAAAGCAAAGCAAAACCCCCAACACCTTAAAAAAAATTGCTCGCAGGTGGGTGCCGGTGGTCTACAACCAGTGGGGCGAGGCGCAGCTCCCACACCGGCCGCCTGTGCTGTTGCCGCCGCATCCGCCGGCGGCGGCGGCCCCTTCTGCTGGCACGGGTGCAGCCCACGGTGCAGCCACAGGTGGCGGTGTTGCTGCTAACCCCTCGGGGGCTGCAGCAATGCCGGCGCCGAAAAAAAATCCTGGCCAGGTGGACCTAAGCAGCGAGGATGACGACGAGGAGTCTGAGGAGGAGGAGGCGGCTAAGAAGGACGAGGACAAGGAGCCGGACTCCCAGTCGCGGAAGGATGATATCGTGGTGGTGGACCACGACCAGGAGAAGAAGAAAGAAGAAAAGGGTGGCAAAAAGGAGGAGGCTGCTCAGAAGCGCAAGAAGAAGAAGGAGAGCAGCTCTTCCAGCGGAGGCAACAGTGAGTCCTCCAGCAAGAAAGAAAAGCCCCGTGCAGCCCCCGCTGCCAAGGAGGCCAAGCAGGCACACGAGGCCCAGGCCGACGAGAACGAGAGCGGCAAGGCCAAGGAGCCCAAGGAAGACAAGGAGGCGGAGGCGGCGGAGGGCGAGCCTGCAGCGCGGCCTGCGAGGAAGAACCGCAGCCGGCACTCAGCGGACGAGGCAGATGTCGTTCGCTGCGAGCACTGCTGGATGTGTGTGAAGAAAGAAGGCCTGGCAAGCCACCTGGAAAACAGCGAATACTGCCGCCAGTGGCGGCTCCACGCCGCCGGCCAAAATTTGGCCGGCCAAAAGCCTGCGGAAGAGCAGGCGTGCCAGGCGGCGTGCCAGTGCAGATACTGCTCACGGCAGTTCATGCGCCGGTGGGACATGCTGCAGCACTGCCTGGGCACGCACCCGGACTCCGACGAGGCTAAGGAATGCCTTGCCGCTATGCACAACAAGCGGAAGAAGCAGCCAAAGGAGGACCGGGCGGCTAGCATGAGCCAGGTCCGGCCGCCCGTTCAGCTGCGGAGCCGCGGCCGTGTGGAGAAGCCGCCGCACAGACGTAGCCCGCGGCGTGAAGAGAGCCGAGATGATGATGGCTCTCGAGGGCGCCGCACCGAGAGAAGCCGTGGTGAGAGCCGCCAGAGCCGTGGCCAGGCAAGCTCTCGAGGCGGCGGCCAGGCAAGCTCTCGGGGGAGCCGCAAAGGCGGCGGCCAGGCAAGCTCTCGAGGGAGCCGCAAGAGCTCCCGCGGCAGCGAGCACATGGACCGACGCTTCTCGGGCCGCTCCCGCAGCCGCAGGGCGAGCGAGCCTGCGGCAAGCTCCGGCCGCCGTGGGCGCGATTCGCGGAAGGAGCCGACAGGGCAGCTAGGCCGCAGCAAATCATCGCCAAGGGATCGGGCCATGGTGGCGGGTCAGAGCCAGAGCCCTCAGATCCCCCAGATGATGCTGGCCTTTTTCGATGCCACCAAAAAGATGCTGGACATGCAGCAGCAGCAGTCCTAACATCGAAGATTTTTGGGCGAGAGGAAGAATCCTGGGCCTGGTGTCCTAAGATCCGTGCGATCCTGGACCCAGAGCCCTAAGATTCGGCTCTCGCAGAGGAGGCTAGGCCGCGGTAGCTAGGCCGTAGAGCCAGGCCGTAGGGTAGGAGCCCGACTGGCCTTCACCCGCCCTTAGCTCACGAAAGCCTTCAGGCCCCAAGCAAAGCTACAGCTACTACAGCTTTTAAGCTTTTAGCCGGAAACCGGAAACCTGAACCCTTAGGCACCAAGCAAAATACAGCTACTACAGCTTTTAAGCTTTTAGCCGGAAACCTGAACCCTTAGGCACCAAGCAAAACTGAAGCTGAAAAGGCCAAGTCGGAAGTAGCTCCAGTGTTCCACTCACCAAGCACTGCCGAGCACAGTCGTGCCAAAAAAGATTCGTTTCAGTTTTGTTTTTGCCGGGCATGTTGAACTCATAAAGGGTTTTAAGGCCACAAGAGGACAGAACACAGAAAACACAGTGAATTCTCAAGGGGGCGGCCCTGGGGGTCTTCGGGGGGGCTTTGGGGGCACTGGGAGGGCTCTGGAGGGCGTTTGCAGGGGATTTAGCACCTGTTTGGGGGTCTCGTGTTCGGGGTGTCCGGGGTCGTGTCGGGGTCGTGTCCGGGATGTCCGGGGTCGTGTCCGGGATGTCCGGGGTCGTGTCCGGGATGTCCGGGGTTGTGTCCGGGATGTCCGGGGCGGGGCCCGGGAAAGGTGTCCGGGGCGGGGTCCCGCCCATGTCCCGCCATGTCCCGCCCACGTCCCGCCATGTCCCGCCCTTGTCCCGCCCGAGTTCCTTTGCGTCCTCTAAACTCTTTGCACAGCAGCCGATATCTCTCGAGGCTTTGTTTGTGTTAGCAGCAAAGAAAAAAAGCGCCAGGGGTATGCCTGGCAAACGCAAACGAGGTGACTCTCCAGTGCATGAGACCGATGCGACCCAGGAGCCGGGCAGCAGTGTGATCACCCGTGTGATCACCCGCACACAGGAGCGATCCGAGCGATCCCGATCCCCGCGAGGGGAAAGGGTTGCGACTATCATTTGGAAGTGGTGCTGGAAACGAATGGAGACAGATGATGGGACCATTTGGTGGTGGCAATGGTGGAAGGAAGGGTCCAGAATCTGAGTGCGGTTTTTTTCGGGTCAGCCCGACAATAAGAGTTTGCGGTGGAATGCTGTCGCCGACAATAAGAGTTTGCGGTGGAATGCTGTCGCCGAATTGCATGACTCAGAGATTGCATGATTGCCTGTCTCAAGGCCTTGCATGGAAATGGAAACAAGTGCATTGCAAGGGTAGACTGTGCCACCCAATTGCCTGACTGAGAGACTGCATTGCATGATTGCTTGTCTTTTTTCCGTGGGTGGAAATGTTTACATCAGTCCTGAGTTTGTCACTGAGAGTGAGCAAAGCCAGTTCCAAGAATAGCGTAGACAGCCGGAGTCATCATCCTGATTTCTTTTCTTTCTCAAGCCAAGCTTTTGTTTTTAGTGGGTTGCAGCATGATGGAGACTGGGGCAGCGAAGCTCCTGTATGCGATGAGTCCTTGGAGCTCAAAGCTGGGGCGTGCACCTGTGGTTGCTGAGCCCTGTGTAGGCATCTCTGCTTATCGAGAGTGGATGCAGAAAGCAGGGCTTGTTTACAGGCCATGCGCAGCCTACGATTTCAACATGGACTTGGTGCCGTTTTGGCGAGCTCTGCGAAACCAGGGTTTGCAGGGGACTTCGGAAGTCAAACTGGGTTTGCAAGAAGGGGACATCGAGAGGAATGTCGTGCTGTCAAAACTGTCAAGTGCGGAAGGCTTGATAAGCGGGCCCCCTTGTCAGCCTTTTGCCTCCACAGGTTTAAGGCAGGGCGCCCAGGACGAAAAAGGCCGCACAGATGTTTTTGAATCAGTTGTAAGCATGATATGTGAGGAAGGCTCGCGTGGCTGTCTTCTGTTTTTCATTCTGGAAAACAGCTCACATTTGGCTGATGCCAACCATGCTGAGTTTCTGAATGAGATGCTCTTGAGACTTGAAGTGTCACTGCCATATTTTTTGGTAGACACCGTGAAAAAGGATGCTGCGGAGTTTCTGCCAGTCAAGAGAGGTCGTTTTTTCATCAGAGGGCTAAGGAGAGACTGCCTGCCAGACCCCATGCAGGCGTTCCTCCCTGCCCCCCTGTGCTGCACGGATCTGCTCCCGGCAGTCACAGTGGAAGAGATTTTGGATCTGAGCTTGGCTGCGACCGATGTGCAGAGTTTGTGTGCAGGGCACGCTGCTAACCTCACATTGTACAAGCAGACCATATCTCAGTGCATCGAAGAGCATCGTGCCCAAGGCAAGCCGCTGCCCTCGAACACGGTTGTTGTGGAGCTCGACCGAAACCCCTTGAGAACTTTCGGCGGGAAGTGGGGTTGGGGCAAGATCCCATCACTGAGGACTACGGGGCCACCTTTGTTTCTTCTGAGTTGCGAGGACTTGTCGAGGCCATGGCAGGTCATGCGACTGCACAGGTGGCTCAGCATCGCTGAGCGGTACAGCGCTCTGGGGCAGCGTGCAAGCCACGCGGCCTTGTTCTCGAGAGACACCCATGCCCTGCATGCGATCGGGAACGCTCTCTCGCCAGTGCAGCTGGCCGCTGTTGCCTCGCCGCTCGTGGAGGCAGCGGTCAACTCTGGCGTGCTCACTGCAGGCAACCGTTGCAAAGCCTGCGCAGTGGAGCTTCTGCCGCACACGAAGCCACCGGGTACATCAGCAGCTTGTATCCTTGAAGAGACCCCGAGGCCAAGCGCCACAAAAGGTTCCAAACCAAAGGCTGCAGTTGAAGAGGCAACACAAAAGACTCGAAAACCGAGGGCCAAAAGCAGTGCAAAGCCGAAGGCTTCAACTGAAGAGGCAAGCCCAAAGACCCGATTCCCGAAGGCCAAAACAGCTACAAAGCCAAAGGCTTCAACTGAAGAGGTAACCCCAAAGACTCGCAACCCCAAGGCCAACAGGGTTCGAAAGCCAAGGGCTCCAACTGAAGAGGAAGCTCCAAAGACTCTGCCTCGTGACACCAGCGCAAAGCCAGAGGCTTCAGCTGAAGAGGAAGCCCCAAAGACTCTGCCTCGTGACACCAGCACAAAGCCAGAGGCTTCAGCTGAAGAGGAAGCCCCAAAGACTCTGCCTCGTGACCGTGACACCAGCACAAAGCCGGGGGCTTCAGCTGAAGAGGAAGCCCCAAAGACTCTGCCTCGTGACACCAGCACAAAGCCGGAGGCTTCAGCTGAAGAGGAAGCCCCAAAGACTCTGCCTCGTGACACCAGCACAGCTGGTTTAGATGGCACCCAGGACTTACCACGTCACCAGCCAGAAGGCAGCACCCAGGACTTACCACGTCACCAGCCAGAAGGCAGCACCCAGGACTTACCACGTCACCAGTCCGATGACTTGGAGCTAGAGCTTGAGCGACTGGTTGACGAGCTTTTTTCGGATGATGATCCGGGCATGGACGTTGATGATGCTGCGCCACAGAGTCCACTCGTCCTGAGTGAGAAAGCAACACACCTCTTCGAGTGTTTGGCTAAAGCCAAAGCTTCATCCAAAAACTGGCTCTCGCCAGCAAGCAAGAGCTCCAAGAACGAATCTGAGCCAGCACAAAGCTCCGGAAGCAAGGTTGGCGACAGACGGAGGCGTTCTACTAGCTCAGGGCGAGACATGCCAGCGAATGCTCAGCGCAAGCTGCGTTTCCCACCTCACTTGAACCTGCCAAAAGAAGCGATCCACCTCTCGGATTCCGACTAGCGCTTCTAAGCGGTGTCGGTTGCCATGGTGGCGGTCTGCCTGTTCGTAGATAGGACCTGCTAGGATGGTAGGTGGATGAGCAGATGTGTGTGTGTGTGTGTCACACAGCAAGCTTGAGAATAGTGCAAAACAGTCTTCCGATAACCCTTCTGTGTTCGCTGAGTAAGCTTGCCGGGTAGTTCCCTGATGACAGCCATTGAACTCAGGGTTCTTGTTTTTGTGTCTTTGGGATATCTCATTCTGCAGCGATTTGTTTGGCTCCACAAGCCCCTCAGCTCCCACACTCGTGCTCCCCTGCCCCGCAGCAAGCATGACAGATGCCCCGGACCAGGAGATGCCTCAGAGCATCATGTGCATCAGGTGTGAGGAAGAGACAAGGATCTTGACGAGCTACCCAACTGGAAGGAACTGCTTGAGGCGGATCTGCTCCTGCTGTTCGTCCACAGACCGGTGCCTCTCTCGGATGGCTAAAGCACCGGCCCTGAGGGGAAGCGTGGCCAAGATGGGTTCCTCGGAGCGTGCCCAGTGGTACCGCCAAGAGAAACGGAAGCGGGCAACCGAGTCAAAGAAAAGCCGCAGGACCTTCGCAACGGCAGTGGGGGCCTTGGAAGAGACTCGCCAGACTGGGAACGAAGATTGCAGCGGCTCACGATACATGACCCCCCGCGACTGGTGCGCACGGGAAATGATCCTGAAGCAGTACAGTACCTTGGAGGATGCTATGGCAGCCTACGAGCAGCGCTGCACAGATCCGGACGTTGTGACCAAGGAGATCAACGGGGAACTCTGCCTCCGGGTCAACAACGGAGGTCTGGAAAATGTCGTGGACCGCCATACCGTTGCAGCATCCGTGCGGCAGCGGACTGACCTTGGCGATGGCGAGCAGCTTGATGGTTTCGAAGAGGAAATCGGACCTCGCATGAAACGTGCTTCTGACAAGCTCCAAACAGAGCGGCTTCTGTCAGAGCAGCAGGGCAAGCAGGCCTACGTTCCGGCCGTCGCGGTGCGACGAGATTTGGAGCAAGAGAAGGAAGTTGCTGAGAACAGAGCTGCTGAATTTCAGCAGCAAGCCTTGGCACTCAAGGAGAAAGCTGATCAAAAGAGGAAAGAGTTGAAGGAGAAGCAAGCAACCCAGCTTCCCTCCTTGGCAGTGGCAAAGCTCAGCCTCACCAACGCTATCCACAAGGCAAATGCTTCGATGTCCGAGCTGTTGA